TCTGGACAGCATATTTTATTTTAATTGTCATATTCAATAAAATAAAATAAAATATCATTACTTCAGTCTTCATTGTCACATGATCCTTCAGAAATCGTTCTAATATGCTGATTTGCGGCTCAAATAACGTATTATATTATATATTTGCATTTTAAATAAGCCTATTTATAAATTGTAGCTATGACAGACCCCATCCTATTTATTCACTTACTTACTTTATATATATATACACACACACACACACACACACACACACACACACACACACACACACACACACATGATCCTTCAGAAATCATTCTAATATGCTGATTTGCAGCTCAAATAACATTTATTTTTATTATCAATGTTGAAAACAGTTGTGCAGCTTCATATGTTTGTGGAAACCTTGATCCGTTTTTTTTCGTGTTTTTTTTTTATGAATAAGAAATTAAAAGAACAGTGTTTATTTGAAATAAGAATCTTTCATAACATTTGATACATGAATGCATCCTTGCTGAATAAAAGTTCAGCATCATTACTCCAATCTTCAGTGTCACATGATCCTTCAGAAATCATTCTAATATGCTGATTTGCAGCTCAAATAACATTTATTTTTATTATCAATGTTGAAAACAGTTGTGCAGCTTCATATGTTTGTGGAAACCTTGATCCGTTTTTTTTCGTGTTTTTTTTTTATGAATAAGAAATTAAAAGAACAGTGTTTATTTGAAATAAGAATCTTTCATAACATTTGATACATGAATGCATCCTTGCTGAATAAAAGTATTAATTTCTTTCTTTCTAACCCCACATTTTTTAATGGACGTGTACATCTTTATTGTCATTAAGTTACTTTAGTCACATATAAGTAACTTAACTAACATAGATATACCAGAAATTGAACAAACAGATATGACATAATCACTTGCAAAATGTGTGGGGTTTTTTTTTTGGCATATTTTATCATCCAACATTTGAAAATCAATTCTAATTGCTTAGAAATGTACCACTTCATTTGAAGTATCCCAACCTGCGCAGAACGAGTTACACACCAAAGTTAATTACTTAGTGTTATTGGTTTGCTCAGATCACTAATCATAAGTATGAGCAATAGCAGTGTGTATAATGCAGATGTGTTTTGCTAATAACCCATATGTGTATGTGCAAGCAGTGTCTGTTGAATGGGAATTAACATCACAACTCGGCCACAGTTTGTTCCATAACTGAATTAAAGATAATGATGTGCTATTATATATATATAAATATATATATATATCTCTGATGTTGTGGAGAGTACAGGTCAAGGTCTGCTCAGCCTGTGTGCATGTCACTGTGACTCACACACACACTAATTAAACATGGACACAACTTGAACCGCATTGAAAGTCTGCTCACGTAGGTCCTTCTGCCAGCAACCCCTGGCTGTTCGGTGTGTGTGTGTGTGAATGTGAATGTGTGTGTTGACTGGGTAATTTTTCAATAGAGCCATAATTAAGACCTTAATGGCACCGAATGCATGTCTGTTTGAGAATCAAGGCCTGGATGTGTGCATGCGCACGTGTTCGCGCACCAAGACCTCTGGCGGAGCAGAGGTCGCGCATTCATTATCCGCTGGGGTCGTAATTTGTCTCGACTGCATGCGTGATTAGAGTAGGTTTGTGTCGCACGTGGGCGACGGCAGACAAGGGAAGATGTCATAAAAACAAAGCGCCTGGTGTATTCATCACGACAAATTTAAAGATGCGTGTTGCTGATACGGCGCTAATGATGCTCTCACAGGAGATTGATGGCGAGAGCTTGTCTCTCCGTGTTTCTGTCTCTGATGCGGAAGTGTAGGACGCTCTCTCACTTTAAGACTGCTATGAAAGCCATTAGACAGTTTTCCAGCCCTGAGGAAACTCATTTAATCCTCTTCAGTTGTCTATGGAGATGCCTGTCACATGCTGAGCGAATGCGCGTGTTTGTTTGTCTGAACGAATATCGCTCGGCGTCAGAAACGAGCCCGATTGTATCAAGCGTGCGAATCACACAGTGGAAGCGTTTTAAGGCGTCGTAGGCGCACTTACAACACAAAAGGCTGTTCAGAATGGTAGGCAGCATGATTATTCTGTCTGCCTAGATGCCTTCTTTAGAGCACATTTGTAGAAAACAATCCCTGAATGCATTGCAATACATTCAGTGAAAAAAGACGGCAGACAGAACAAGAGAAATGTTGATTATATACCCTATTCAGCACTGAATGGTAGAGCTTATTTATTTTGTATACATATTTCTTTGTTGGCTTAATCAAACTCCTGTATGATAGGACACCATTGTATTCATAATGTTTAAAGCAAGTTCTAAAAGTTTCCTATTTTAAAATTATAAATAATATTTTATAAATATTATACAAAAATATTATAAAATCTAGAGTTTAGTTTTAATTTTATATTATTTTTATTTTATTTAGTTATTTTATTTTATTGTTTATATGAAGCAAACTTTCACCCATATCATTTTATATATGACTTAAAATTAGTTTGTTTTATTTTAGTTTTTTTATTTTATGTTATTTGTATTTTATTTATAATATTATATATAAAAAAAAATTCATAAATATATTTAAAATGTTTATATGGAGCAAAATTCCATCCATAGTACTAATAATGCATAACTAGTTCAAGTTCACTTGTGAAAAGTAGTCACACTGCTAAAACAACTTTTAACAAATTAGATGGAATATAACATACAGTTTTTACAAAGGTCAGAGATACTGATGATAGAGCTAAACTTAACCATGAATATTCCTTTAATTAGGAGGGTCAGACTCGCCCAAACCCGCCCATCATCCCACCCTGATTGGATCATTCCATTTGTTCATAAGTGGAGGGAATCGTGTTGATGGAGCATCGTTCTGTGTGCATGTGTCATTTAGCTGGGTGTTGATGGGTGGAGAGTATTTTTGCTAGGCTGTGAATTAAGCGTTGATGTTTTTTGGTGGAGTGTCTAAGTATTTTGGCTGTGTGGGTGTGGATGTGGAGTGACAGGATGAGTGTGTGCATGTGTGTATAGGATTCCATCCTATTTTTCAAAACACCTCATCTGTTCACACTCTCTTGAGGATCTGAAACCATGTGATGAATCGTCAATGAATCATTCTTTTGAAATGATTCTTGATTCAGTTGAACTGATGACACTCATTTTAATCTGTCAACATTTAGCAAAGCGCTAGCAACCTATCTCCTGCATGAGCACCAAAGCTCACCGTGTCAGAGCAAGTGCACTAACTGCTTGGCAATGGCTCAGACTGACTACAGAGATGTACACACAGGTGACTCTGTGTGTGTGGTGATGGAAAGACACCCATCTGTTGGATTTGCCCCACTGCTGGCTGCGAAGCAGTTTCAATCTGTTGACCCCTGTTTGTTCTGAACTTTCACCCTTTCCTCATCTGTGTGTTTGGTGCCAGCTGGCCGTCAGCTCATCTGATGGTGATTCTAAGCATGCGGATACACTGAGATGTGTGATTGAAATAGATCGGCATTTATCTTATCAGCATGCAGCCAATAAAATGGCGCGCAACAATTAGGCAGCTGCAGACTGCTGTTTGTTTTTAAATTAAAATGGTCAGGGATATGAAATCCATCTTCATTTTAGAAACCCGAAAGAGTTTCTTTCATCGCTCAGGAAACTCAAGTTCAGGCTTCACTGCAGGCTTTTGATATCTGAGCACACTTCGGGACTTCAGCCAAGTTTCCATCCAAGGAATTTATTATTATTATTTTTTGGCAGAAAAAGATTTAGCGCAACAAAATGTTCAACTATAGCACATACATTCTGTGTGAATACTCCAAATATTGCAAAAACTAGTTTGGAAACACTTTTTTTTGTTGAGAAAACGCAAATGAATATTGTGTCACATGGCAGAATTAGCCAACATTCAGCATCCGCGTTCATGTTGCTCCTGTTAAAGCGCCATTTCTCTGTCATTTTCAAAGGCGCATTAAATCTGTTAAATTAATATTATTAAATTGTATACGAAATTATTTGTAGTTTAATGTATGGGCCCTAAAACAATTTAAATTTTAAGTTAAAATGTTATAATTAATAATTTGCGATTATTATATTATATATTTTCCAAAAGGTACATCTGGAAAAAGGGGGGTCGTCTTATAATCAGGGTCGTCTTATATTCGGGCCAATACGGTAATTGGTTATTTTATCTTTTTATGGACCCTAAAATTTTCATATAGGACTGTCATCTGATATTTAAATTGTCTCATTATTTATTACTATTTTACAAATTTGGGATGTGAAAGATACAATATAATTTGCGATATACACACAATTATGTATGTAAACGGCTCAGTAAACAGGCAGGAGATAGCAATTTTCACAATTTTTACACTTTGTCTTTAACAGAACAACATTTTACACAGGAAAATCTGAGAAGCAGAAGACTTCTGCAAAGATCTCTATGCACCTAGGAGAAGCATTTGAGATCTCATTTGTGATTTCTCTTTCCTCTGGGTCTCTTTTTCCCATGTCCTGTTCCTGTGCCAGACACATCTGTAAGTCTCCCTTGATTGTTAGACAGACTCAAGGTCCATCCGTATAGTGACTGTAGTCATTGTAAAAATGAATAAATGAGCATTGAGAGGATCTCATCCATTAGGAGGAGCAATTTGTCATCATTGCCCAGTCTCTCGGGGCCCGATGGAGGAAGACAATGTGGGAAACGAGAGAGCTGCGCATCCCTGTTTGTGATTATCAGATTCACAAACTTCAGCCCAGTATCTGGGTCAGGCAGGAAGAATGTCTGAGGGTGGAATGACATCTCTCTCTTACTCTCTGTCCCTCTACACCTTCTCCAATTTGAGGCATGAAATTCCCCCCAAATAATATGTTAACTTAAGAATTGTCTCGCTTGCTCTGCCTCATTTGGCTTATTTTTCTCTCTCAGCTTTTCTCATATATTTCTGCATGTATTGTTTCTCTCGTAATCTCTTTTTCTCCGTATGCCTGCTGCTGGATCTCAGTCCTGCTGCAGAAAGTGTGGTGTCCAGAAACTCTGAGAACTTCATATATTATGTGTGAGACTGACTTTTTCTGAAGGAGGAGGAAGACAAGCAGACCAGACAGAGACTGACTGAAATATCTATCTAGGGCCTGACTCGCAACATTTTGATCCGAGGCGAGATGGAGCCGACCTGTTACGGCAACGATGCCTGCAAGTTCTTCTCCTTCGACACGTTTGGTGGACATCTTAAGGTAATCCGAGCCTCCTGTCACTTCAAACATGCATTTCTCTGTTAAATACCACCCACAGTTGTCTTGTAATGCCTCCATCCGTCCACTAGCTCATCCGAACATGAATGTTCACACCCTCAGAATGAGTTATTACAGCGATGGCACCTCTAGCTAGACATTAACACTCTGTCAAACTAGCAGAACGGACATTTTTTTTGGCTTTGGCTCCTGCGAAGGGCCTGTCCGTGTGTGTGTGTGTGTGTGTGTACGTGATGGGGCGACTCAAGCGTCTGACCTCTCTAGTAATTGGCCCAGATCTGACTGTTCCTTTCCCCTCCTCACCTTCGCTGTCATGCAGAAGGTTGGCCCGTTTCTCCACTCAAGAAGAAATTTCCATGTGCAACAACTAGGCCATCCTGTCTTTCAAGTTGTGAGGAAACTGCTTTTGACAAAACCTGCCTCACAGTAATGAATTTAAAAGTGATAAATGTTAAAATAAGTCAATTGTTGTAATTCTTGCCAATAAAGAATATTAGAGCTAAAATATAAATTCTGTATCATTTACTAAACCTCATGTCCTTCCGAAACCAAATGGCTCTCAACAGTGAGTATCATCAATGTTGGGGAAAGTTACTTTTGAAAGTAATGCATTACAATATTGTGTTACTCCATAAAAAAAGTAACTAATTACGT